TATTTAATAAAAAGTAAAATACATCTGGATACGAGTCCAATTTTGCTTGCCATGTCCAATCACCAGGAACAACTATTTCCATTGCAGAGACAACCTTTCTTTAGAGGCTATGCCTCTGCACAAATATGCAAAACAGTTTAAAATGTCCACAGGTGACAACCCCAACACAATTAAAATTATAATATTTCTTTGTAGAAACATTGTTGATTGGATGTGGCAAGCAAAATTGGACTAGTATCCAGATGTATTTTACTTTTTATTAAATTGTAATTCTGCCAGCCCTTTTCTACAAAGAAATATTAATTTTAATTATAATACACACATATACATATACATACATACATATATATATATATATATATATAAGTAATGTATCAGGGTATATAAAACAATTAAAACTTTAAATGTAACAAAACAAGCAAAAAGTACTTTGATATTTTACTAAAAATTTACAAGATATTACATATAATTATAAACAGGTATTCCATGCTGCTTTATAAAAGTTTGCTTTTAAAGACCTATATTACTACCCATTTTTAATGACCAAAATAAACACAAAATATAAAAATAGTGTCTAGTGTTTGTTTTGCAGCAAATCATTTTAGGGCCTGTATACCAAGTTACCAAACTCTTTCCCTGGGAAATACACCCAACATCTATGCAACAACCTACCATAGCTTTAAACTGTGTCTATGAGCATCTGTGCTTTATTTCAATTTATTTTATGCATGTGTTAGCAAAATGTGTCCTAAGGTGTAAAACCCATTACAATAGTATATAACTTAATAATTTTATAAGAATTAAATATTTTGGATTAATCAGAATATTTTTGTTTATCTTAAATATAATATTCTTTCACATGATGATCTAAGACTTACATGATAATCTAAGTTTTAACTGTCCTTTATTATAATCTACTACAGAAGCATCATTATTGGAGGGTTTCCTGAGATCTGATAATTTTGGTCTACGATTAGAAGGATGCTCATCTACAATGAGATTGTCTTCATCAGAGTCAACAAAATCATATACAGAATCATTTTTTACAGTTTCATCCTTTCCACTAAAAATTTAAAAAAATTAATTAAATCAAATTTTAATAAATAAAAAAAAATTATAAAAACAAAATTATATACCCAATAATTTTTCCATGTGAAACTTTTAATCTGAGCATACTGTTTTTATCAAGAATAGCTTCTTGTGATTCTAATGTACTTCTTAAAGGATCATGCTTTGGATATTTCAGTTTCATGTAAGAGCCACTTTCTCCACTATCAGATATTGGATAAGATACTGAGTTTTTAGAAATGCATAGTTTAAACCTTGCTGATGAATTCATAGTGTCAGTTACAGAATTTGCAACTGAATCTTGAGGATTTGCTAATTTAGATTTAAGTGAAAATTTTAAAGGAAGATGAGAAACATCATCTGTTAATACTGATGGTAAGTATCCCATGTTATCTTCAGATTTTAGAGACATTCCTTGTAACTATAAAAATATATAAAAAGTTTAATATTCATTAACTAAGATCAAAACATTTATATAGTTAAAACCATTATGAAATAAATTGAGAACATTAATGTTAATGTTTAAAAGCAAGTTATCAAACAAGAAGGATGTTTGCAGAAAAACTTATAATTATCTTTATTTCTATAATATTAGTAAGTACCATCTAAAACATTTGTTTAGAAGGAAACATATTATAAAATTACAATAGTTCCATGTTCTTAATTTTTTATTTGTTATTATTTGTTCAATTTATTATTGTCATTTATCTGCTTCTGCAACATCTTTTCTTGCTCTATTATATAAATTTAATCATTTCAGAGTAGAGAATTCTCTTCCATTTAATGCTAATTCTGTTAAAAATTAACCTTAATACCAAGCTGCATTTTCTTTCATGTTCACTTTCCTTCAGTTCCTCATTTCACAGTTTTATCTCCAGTATGTTGTAGTCTGTGCAACTACCTGGCCATACATATTTAAGATGCCTATATAGCTTTAACCAGCAATGATTGAGTGCAACAAAAAAAGTTTCTCTGACAAGAGTATTTTAAAACAATCTCCAGAAAACTCATCCTGTGATATGAAAATGGCCATTTACGTATCATGGGATCAGCCCAAACAAACTATTTGTTATAGTATTTAATATAAAAGAAATTTCAAGTTTTTCTAAACATTAAATCTACAATGGAGCTGAAGATCAATATTTTGAACTTTTTTTTATAGATATTAACTCCTTAGTCTCCATTGACGTATATATACATCAAGCCTACATAGCCTTACGAAAAACGTGGTCCTTAAGGTCATTTTTGAAAAAATTTTTTTTTTTTTGAATTTTTGGAATGTTTTTTAGGTCTCCAAATTTTTTCAAAATTTTTTGCCCACGCGAAAAATTTTTATTGCGATTTTAATTAGCCTTTAATAAGGCTCGATTAAGGCTCAGTTGTTTTTTAATGGGAGTTTTTTATCAAATTTATTTCATGGTTCCTAAGTTGTAGTGCATGGATATTCATTCGGTAAAGTTATTTAAAGTTAGTTTCTGATGTCAAAAACGACCTCCAATGGTTTTTTAATTTTTTTAATTAATATANCACACATATACATATACATACATACATATATATATATATATATATATAAGTAATGTATCAGGGTATATAAAACAATTAAAACTTTAAATGTAACAAAACAAGCAAAAAGTACTTTGATATTTTACTAAAAATTTACAAGATATTACATATAATTATAAACAGGTATTCCATGCTGCTTTATAAAAGTTTGCTTTTAAAGACCTATATTACTACCCATTTTTAATGACCAAAATAAACACAAAATATAAAAATAGTGTCTAGTGTTTGTTTTGCAGCAAATCATTTTAGGGCCTGTATACCAAGTTACCAAACTCTTTCCCTGGGAAATACACCCAACATCTATGCAACAACCTACCATAGCTTTAAACTGTGTCTATGAGCATCTGTGCTTTATTTCAATTTATTTTATGCATGTGTTAGCAAAATGTGTCCTAAGGTGTAAAACCCATATGACACATTTGATATGATTTGATAAGTTAATTTAGATCTAGTAATACTCAAATTTCCCATTTAATGGAAATTGCTTTTTTGTTCTCTTGGCTTACAAAAGGTTTTGTGGAAACACAGTATTTTCAAATAGTGGGGTAATCTGTATATATAATTATTATAATACATATATTCAAAACAGAGCCATACTAATGGTGTTAACACTTTACAAAAAATTCTACTATCATAAAAAATTAATTTTTACACCATAGAAAATATTAAAATTTATAAGTTGACATAAAAATAAAATGTTAATATATATTTTTTTAAATGTAGACTCATTATTATTTATGATTATGGATTACAACTGATGATGGATAACTATGGATTACAGAGTATTTTAGAATGAAAGCTTTGAACATTATCTTCACAATAATATTTATTATAAATAATTTTTTATTTTTAAATAAAACGTATCTGTTCTCTTTCCTGACAGTTGTAATAATAATCCATAAGTGGACTTTAAATATTTAAAGGAGGCTCCACACATTCAGTATTTGCCGGCTGCCAAATAATTGCCTACTTATCCACTTTGATTTGACACAATATACAGACAAGGAGTAGGAAACAGTGAATACTGAATATTAATCATGAGTAAATCATCCACACTACTTAGTATTGGCCAAACATTTACTAAGCATTTAGCAAATACCAAATGTGTAGAGCAGCCATAAAAAAATTTCCCTTACATAAATTCATTTGAAGGATAACATTGCTGTAAAACATATTTATCATTATTTTGATTTTCTTCTCTTTTGGTAATTTATGAATAGAATTGAAATCATTGTACAAGCAAAATAATTTTCTAAACTGATATTTATATTTTATAAATGAAGTGACTATATGTTATATAAATTACTTTTAATTTCAAGTAAGACAATTTTACTGTAAATAAATAACTAAAACAAGTATCCAATTAAATAATTTGTTTCATTTTATTATAGATGGAAATGGAAGCTAAGGTTACTGCAGATGATAATTTCAAATTAAAGATAATGTACAACTCTTATTATTTTGTTCATATGAAAAGAATAATGCATTTTATTCTGTATTATTATTTCTATGTTGTTGTTAAAAAGGGGAGCATACATTAAATATAATTGGTATGAGATTTTTAACCACAATTTCTTATTCAACTGACTGATTTTATAATTAACAGTTAAAATTACAATTTTTATTACTAAAATTATTAGTTGTTATTTTAAGTTGACATAGATATAAGAATCTCCAGTGCTCATTCTTCTCTTTAAACTTAGTAATTCAATTAAACTATGCAATATTTGACTTTTTACTTAACATTTTCAATGTAATTAATATTAAATTCATTTAACAAACATATCTACATCACCGATTTTTCAGAATATCTTTTAGCAAAACTTACAATTTGAAAAAGTTTTAATGTTCCTAATTTCCTATTTTAATGATGCTCAGAGAATAATAAGAGATTAAAATAAGTCATAAATATTTATACTTTTGTACAAATAAAAAAATGAATTAACATCACCATTATTAAATTTAAAATTCATATAAATCAAACTTACATTTTCATCATTTCCCTTTACTTCAGTTAAAATAACATTTTCAAGAAGTTGCCTTCTTTCTTTATTAGGACTGTATCTTGTTTTCTTAAAATCTTTTTCAAGTTTTAACTTTCCACTAACATGTTTCTGAAAATATCATATCACAAATTATTATAACAACCTAAAGTACTAAAAGCATAATATTTGAAAATTAGATAATGGATAACAAAAGTTCAAATTTCATTTAAGATTAAAATTATAAATATCTTAAAAAAAAATAATCATAATTTTATACATAATTTCTTAAATGGTATTCCTTGTTTCTAGTAATTTATTGATGCAGATTGTTTATTCTTAAAACTTGATGGACTGATTTTGATAAATCTACCATTTTCCATTAATTTGAATGAGGAATCCAAAATTGTAAAAAAATTGAAAACCATGATTTCATTTAAGATATATTGGAATCAAACTGATAATTGAGGTAGCCTCACTCAGCATAAGTAAAACAAAAAAAACACAACACATTAATTTGCTGAGAAAATTTAATGAAAAAGTAAACGTTTTCAGCCAAATCTGTTGGCCATCATCAGGCTGAGATATTCGAATATAAATAAATACAAATAAAAATAACGAATGACGCGTATATATATATATGCATAANCATATGTACAAGTATCTATAATTTACAATATAAATATTTAATATTTTAAGTTCTAAATAAATAATATTAAACAGTGTATATTTTAAAATTTGTTCATAGCTTCAAAACTTACTCAGCTATATGAACTCCTAATCTTAGTCTATCCAAGCTTAAACAATCTTTGGAGTGATCCATTGTAAGTTTAATCCCTCGAGTCTTGCCATCAGATGTTGCAGGTATCTCAACTAGTTGTATACTATGTGGTTGTTTCCCAAAGAATGTTCGTTTTGATAATGGTTGCATTTGACGTTTGTAACAAGTACCACTTTAAAAAATTAATAAAAACATAGTCATAATTTCAACAAATAAATTTAAACACTAACTAAATTATAAAAGTATATACCAAAAAAGTTTTGATCTTTCCACGAGAGCATATGAATCTCCATCGCCAATAAAACTTCCACAGTTTGAACATTTGAAACATTCTGGATGGAATTTATGATCTCCTGCAACCTGAAATATTATAATTTAAAAAACACTTTGCTTGTTATAATGTAACAATATATTTCCTTACTTTTAAACTTAAGAGAAATAGTTAATGAAAAATATTTGACTGAAAAACTACATTTTTTACTATTTACTCAAAATCACACACACATTTATGATCTTGATTTATGTTACATGAAAACTGAATGTATACATAAGCTTTTGGAAAATAATTATTTCTTTTAATGAATGTCATCTTATCACTTTAACATTAAAAATTATTCAATGATGGCAAATGCTTATATCTGCTAGTACAGTACAGTTCACTACTGTACTGTAATGCCATTCTAATGCCATGAAATAAATTTTAAAAATAATTTTAAAATTTCTAAAAAAAATAACAAAATATACTTCTGTAGTTACATATATAAATATGTAACTACAGAAGTATATACTATATTTGTACAAACTTTTGAAATATACTATATTTCAAAAATTTGTACAAGCTTGGTATCATAGAGAAACTATTATATGAAGACAAAAATAGTATTCTATGCATGATTTCAACATGCATCTGGAAAATTACATTAAATTAAATGCATCTTTGATCAATTAAAATGCCTCAATGTCCTTTTTCTTACTAAAATATAAATTTTCATCTATAATAACATATCTTCTATTACCAGGACTTATTATACTGGCACTACAGAAAATATTACAAAGTTTTACAGAAAAACATTTTTTATTTTACTTAATATACCTGTATAATTTTTATATTTTTATATTTTTTATTTTTTATTTTACTTAATATACAGGTATATTAAGTAAAATAAAAAATATTTTTCTGTAAAACTTTGTAATATTTTCTGTAGTACCAGTATAATAAGTCCTGGTAATAGAAGATACGTTATTATAGACGAAAATTTATATTTTAGCATCTTTGATCATATGACTCATTTTCCTGTAACCTCTTAATTGTCACTTTGATTTTAATTTAATTTGCCATACTTGCTGAGCATTTATAATCGATTAAAACATTAAAAACAAAATGAAAACGAACAAGTTTTGTCTCTACCATAGAACAAGAATAGATTTTTTACTTTAAAAAGTAATGGAAATGGCTACCTCATTTTTGTACAGTAAATATGAAGCTAGTTTGTAGAATCAATAGTTCATGTGGTTTTAAAAGATTGTATTCAGTGATAAAATTTGAAAGTTATAGTAAAACAGAAAGCTCCTTAATACAAATATCTATATACAGTATTGTGCAAATTAGTCAAAATGAGGTCAGATTTTGGGATTTTTTTCTTTCAATTATGAAGTAAGTTAACATCACTGTTGCCAAACCTTAATCATCTGTTTTTTCATATCCAGCTGATAAACCACTACTGAAACACAAGCTCAACATCAGTTTCATTAAAATTTGCTACCATTTAGTGGTAACTGTTGTTGAGTGATAAAGTGATATTGTATTTTTTTTCTCTTCTTTCCATTAATTTGCACAGTTCTATAGTCAAACTTCAATATAACAAATTGTTTCTAGAAGATGATATACAGTGGTACATCAGGATACGAATGCCCGAGCATACGAAATTTTCAGGATATGACATGAAATTCAAACATATTTTTGCTCCACGATACAAACAAAAACTCACCATACGACGTTACATTAGTTCGCAGTGCTAATTTTTATTCACTTCTGTTCATCAGTCTCGGTCCACGCATTTGCTTCATCGTGGAAGGATCTCACTCAATAAAGGAAATCTCGAGGTATTATCAGAAAGTAACTGATCTTATTGAAAAGAAACATCCCGAAAAGGTTCACACTGGCCATATTGCTGCTTGGAGTAATGACATTTGCCTAAGTCATTTTAAAAACATTTTAAAAAGTAGGCAAAGCCAAACCTCTTTGGATAGATATTTTACCAAGCGACCTCTATCCAGTGAAAGTGAAACCTCTTGTGAAGGAGAAGGAAAGAAAGCAAAAAGCAGTGAATAAAAATTTAAAAAATATATATAAAACAACACTAATTTTTTTTATCTTTTCTAAGTTATTTTTAAGTTATTGAAAGTTATTATGAAAGTTAAGTTTTAGTATCATTTTCCTTCTCCCTCTCTTCCGCCACCAGTTTACACCTCCACTGCCGTCTATCCTCAAAGGTCAAGTGCAAATAAAACTACATTTTTTTAATTAATTAATTATTATTCTATTATGGTTATTTATACATTTACAACTACAAAATGCATTTTTCAGTGTTTTCCTTACTAAAGTTATTTTTTTAATGTACTACTTAGCTTTAATTTAGTGTGCTTTTCGTGTTGGAACAAATTATTTGGTTTTACGTGTAATTGTATAGGGAAAAATGATTCACCTTACGACATTTTCATGATACGATCTCAGTTTCGGAACGGATTAATTTCGTATCCTGAGGTACCACTGTATAGAAGATTGGAAAAGAAAAATTGATAGTGAATATTAAAAAAATGTTGTCGACATTTCATAAAAAGATTCATTATATAGGGACTTTTAATATGGAAGTCTGACTGTATATCAAGTTATTTTTTCACAAACTATCATAATTATAGGATAATCTTGCTTAACTTTAATCTGTTTATGAAAATTAGACTGTTGTGAAAAAATGTTAACCAGGAGCCTATTTCACATTATTTTAAATAGATATTACTTCAACCAAAACTTCCAACTAATTTAAAAAAAAAAAAAAAAAACACAAACACACATAGCATACATATAGGCTATATATAGGCATTGTATTGTGTTTTAGTTAAATTACAAACCATTGTATTAAAATGTAAAATGTTGAATATATTAGTTTTTAACCATCAAACAGTTAATATAATAATAATTACTAATAGTTGTTTTGTATGCAGTAACATGTACAATTTGCAAGTCATACAGAATGACAAAAATTATATGTCAAGAAGATTTTTTCAAATATGATGTAATTAGAAAGAGTAGCAACATCAAGAGTATCAATATATTTAGTAAACAAGTGACATTTTTTTATGATGTGATAATTAACTTAATTAAACAAGCACAAGATGATTGATCTAAGCAAGGGTCAGAAGCTTTCTCTTGTGAAGGCATATTACCAAAATGATGAACAGATAGCACTTAGGGTATTTCATACTAAATTTTCTACATCCAGAAACCCTAGTGACAAGACACTTAGAAGATAAAAAATAAACTTTTTCATTTCTAAATGATGTCAAATTTTAAGTTCCTATATCTCATATACTAAATAAAGTAATTGATGTCAATAAGGTGATTCAAAAATTCCTTGAACATGGTACCCTAGATCAGTATTACGCAACTGGTGTGCCATCACAAGGTGACAGGTGTGACAAACTTTTACATATTCTATTAATTGTCACATTTTATTTATATATTTTTATCACAGTTGCTGTGTTTCTTATGCTTGTATTTCATTCTCTGCTGCAGAATGGATGAAATAAAATGATGTTTGTTTTGAAAGAACGACATAGGTAGTATTTTTCCTTTTTTGCATTCCCTCAGAAAGTCGTATCTAGCTCTTGCCTTAGTTAGGCATATAAGCGTTCTGTGGTAATTATTAGCCTGGCATTGCTAATTAATCAAATCGGAATTATACTACACAGGGTTAAAGTAAACAATAAACAAACATTTATTGTTTACTTAAGAGTTAAAGAGTTACTTAAGAGTTACTTTAACCCTGTGTAGTATAATTGCCGGTGTGCTTCTCAGAAAAACAGAGTGTTACAAACATTTTCGAACTTGAAAGTTCTTATTCAGGTAACTGACGACTGTTAAGCAAATGCAATTCAAATTCAAGTCAAATTGGAATACCATTCAGAATTCTATCGTGTGGATTGATGACGTCATTCAGGCATGCGCCCCTCTGCCAATTGTAAATTATCGTAAGTTCTTGTCTATGAGCGCCTGCCATGCAGTTGACAGGGTGATTTCATCTTTGTGGTTAATGCAATTATCATCTTTTAATGTAGCCATACAGATGTAAAGGGCCTCTAATCATCTAAGATGGTATATGTATTTTGTAGTGCGGATCACCTTGGCCTGGTTGAACAACGGCTCTATTTCCAACAACAACACCATAGATTCACACAACAATATCCTCACCTCACTGTCACCGAACAAAGAGTTGTCAGTCAAAAAAGAACAATTATACACAACAACCTTATCCCACAAACAACACTTGAACTTATCAAACAACAGGTTGCTGATCAAATACATCAACAGACAGAAACATTTAACATTAATGAAGAACGTAACCTGTCAGGGTAATCCAGCAACAAGCATTGATAATAGCACACATACAACAAGTATCACTGATGATACTACAGACACTTCCTCATCCATCACTAATAACAGACATAGAATTAGTTAATACACTCTCACTTATATTTCAGGAAACACTCACTAAATATACTGGTACAGATCCCACACAAAGACTACGAATACCAAAAATCAACATGTCAAAGAAAGTAGGAAAAACATTAAATTATGTAAACACTCACTTACAACCAAACTACATTCACTCAATTTCTACACTCTCAGACATTCATTCATTAGTTTACACTGGGGCAGTCACAGTAGTGACACACAACAGGCTGAAAATACAATCGCAGACAGATACACACAAAACACATTTCTGTCACAAGCCTGCCTGTCAAAGAAGAATAGAAACACAAATAAGTGACATTAGACAACAATTAGACAGACTGACACAATACACTAAAAACAACATAACACCCAATTTAAAGAAACAACTCAAAAACATTTTCAAGAAAATCAAAAAACACACATTACAGAATACATTGATACACTAAAACAAAAACCTGCAGCCAAAGCACATAGACTCAAACAATACAAAACATGTACACTACGAAAACAACAAAATAAATTATTCACAAACAACGAAAAACTTTTCTACAGACAAATCAGTACCAAAACAAATACTGAAACACAGCATAGTGGCACACCAACAGAAGAAGAACTCACAACTTATTGGTCTTCTCTTTGGTCCAATGCTGTTACACACAATGCTGAAGCAGGCTGGATCGAAGAGGAGAACAGAAACTTGCACAACATACCAACTATGCCCTGTGCTGAAATAAACATACACGACATTCGCTACGC